TTTCGAGCGCTGTTTGCGCGCCAAACCGTCGGACCGCAGCGTATTTATCTAATGTAAATTTAATACGGGCCAGGCCAGTGGCGAATTCGAAATAATTTTCGAAAGTTTCGTCCAGTTGCCGGAGTTTGATCAATTTTCCCTTTCCCGCGGATATTGTTTATTCTAGTCGGGCGTGCGCGACCGCGTGCGCGCTCACGGCTAACGCGAATTTAATGCAACTCCGCTGCGGAATTAATTCGAGAATTACCATACACGCCCGCAAGCCATCGCTGGCGCTTCGTCGAGTTTTTACGTGCCGCGAAACACCTCGAAATACCAGCCGAATCCCACGTATCGTACACAGGGTGTTTATATAAAAATTGTCGACGTCAGTTATTAATATCGAACCCGGTACGCCGAACTAAATCCCGAATCGATAGACACAGACTCGAAAAAGCGACGGTTCGTAATACTCGCACGCCGTGGCAATCGTCGATCGCGCCGTATTTTTCAATGGCTTCCTCCGGCCGTGTCTCTATAATCCTGCTCAACGATCGCGAAGTTTCCTGGTCGAGCCGATTCATTACCGAGAAGTGTCGTTAACCGGACGTGCCGGTGTTCTCGGGCTGGCGAGGAGAACGGGGCTGTAATAATTGTGCAATTAACCGGACCGCAGTTTCCGTCGAGTTTTGCCAAATGGCCGCGGCGAACCGGAACTCGCGACGAAGAAGAGTGCTCTTGCGTCGGATTAAAGCTCGAAGCGAGAAGAACCGAGCGACGCGTCACCGTTGCGTCGAAGCATTAAGCGACGAGCGCGTTCGGGCGCCGATTAAATCTGTGCCCGACGAAATAAAAAGTCGCGCAAAAAAAAAAGAGGGGCAAAAAATTCTGGGGAAAAAGAATTATTTCATTTGCCACTCGACCGACCGCGTGCATGCGTCGTTACCTGCATACGTGTCGGGAATATATCTTAATCCGTCGATGCCCCGACCTGAATATATATGCGAGCCACCGTTTCCGTTATAAAACGCGACGCCATGGGCCGTTGTATTTTCGCGGAACAACGCCGACGTCGTATCTCGTATTTCGGGATGGAAAAAAATCGATTGTATTTTACATTTTCCGAAAGAGTACCTATGCATGGGTATCTCGGTAAAATATTCAAGCGAAAGCTCGAAAATTGCTCGAATTATACAGTATGTCGGCGAATTTTGAAAAACATGCCGTCGTAAATGATAGATATATGTATGTAGAGTAAAAATAGAAATCAAAGGTGATACCGGAAAGCCAGATTTCGAAAACAGGAAACGAGAACCAGCAATTTAATCTAATTATCCGAGCGATTAGCCCTCGTTGCTTATCGCGCATGCCCAACTCTCCTTTCAACCTTCGAGCACAGTCAGTCATCTAATTCGCCCGCTCGACTTACCGCCCTAATTGTTTGTCCTCTGTTTTCGCGACTCGGTATGCACAGGGCGCCGACGACAATGACGACAATGACGACGTGACGTCCGCCGCCAAAGCTGTTCGCACCCCTCTGCATTTCGACGACAATTGCCAGGATACAGGACGCGCCGCCCACGGAACCTTTCAACGTAATTATCCTCCAATTAACCGAATCACCGGCTCCGCGAACCAAACTTCTGCTGACCGAGCATCGACTCGATCGATAAGATAAGACCCAATAATTCACGGATCGCTTCGCGAATATTTCCGCGAAACCGGAAACGACCGACTCCATCCCGAGAAACTGGGCCATTCTCGTGCCAGAGACGACCGAAGTACTCGTCTGGAAATAAATTTTGAATACCTAATCTAAAAATAATCATGTTTCCAATGCGATGGGGAAACGAGTTTTTTCTAAATTATTTCGTTTCTCCACGGTCTTGATTTTCCACTCTGCGCGCGTAAAAACGGGCAATCGACTCGAAAGAGATTACCGGCGACGATATTTGTTTATCCTAAGTGCGGCGATACGTCGCGAAAAGGTTTGACGGTTAATCGATCGTGAATTTCTGCCGCAACGTAATCTATTCTCTGAACTTTTCAAGTTACCGAGTATCTTTTCTCTTCTCGAAGTTGAAAACTTACAGCATCTTCCCGAGCAACGATCGCTGTTACGTTACTTCGAGCAAGTAAGAGTAAAAAAGACGCGAAGAAAATCCGTAGCTAAATTCCTTCCATTCGGTGTACCAAAATCTACGCCGAAAGTAAAGTCTGGCGATGAAAGCTACGTGCTACACAATAAGCACTATTTTTGCTCGCACGATTAATTATTCGTTGACTGTAATTATAAGGAAACTCGACGCAACGTTGATTAGACGGATTCGAGAATTTAAAGTAAAATGTTTTGTTAATTTCTCGACGACCCGCTCGCGCGCTTGCTGCTAAATGAGATTCCGAGCTTGATTAACTATTCATCCGAACGAAGTGGCGTCGCGACGTTCCTTTTCGTTCGATATCGCGAAGTTAGATAACGAAAAAGAAAAAAGATCGAAAAGAAGGAAAAACCGGGCTCGTCCGGTGGCCCGAGATAAACTGCAGCTTGACAGCCGCGCCAGATCCGACTGGGTTCTGAATTCCTTGTTAGGCCAGCACGGAGTCGTCGTATTTTTCTGTAAGCACGTTACCAGCCTAATTTTTCACGGAGGAACGACCTACTCGACGAACAATGGACGTCGAACGACGCCACGAATTTTCGACGAGACGTTTTACCGAACGCGGGTACCGTCGGTCCAGAAAAATGAAGAATTAGCGTGCAGCTTTGAGCATGGTGTGTTATCGAACAAAATTCTTCCCTTACCCGATCGAATCAGGGATAGATCTGTAGTCGGATGCTCTTCGAGGCGATTTCGCGGGAACAATGGCGATCGAGGGCGCCGGATGACGGCAAACATGTAAAAGTCATGCATCTCGTGGACTCGGAGCGCTCGGTATTCCGGCGGCTGAAAGCGACGGCGGCTGGTAATACTCTTGAAAAGTAGTCCAAGTGAATAATGACTCCGAACAATGGAGTTTCGAGACCTCTCGCGCACGCGGGAGAGACCAAGGGGAAGCTTAAACTTTCCCGAAGCGCATTCTTTCGTCCCGTATTTACTTTTCTGGAGCGCATTAGCGCGCAATGCCGAGTTTTAGCGGTTTCGGACAAGCGTCTTTAAATTTATCAAAGGTTGTCGCGTTACGAAGCCCGACAAAATTAATACGCCATTGATACGAGGTTCAAAAGCGGTTCGGCCGTCGTTAAAACACGTTAAAACATATGGACGGAAAGGGACACGACGAAAGGAACATAATATCCATGGAAACTGGTTCAAGAGAATAATGACACGAAACAATGCGAGTAGGCGCACCACTTTACGCGATGCCGTATTCTTTGTCGACGCGGCTACTTTCGTCGAGTCGCGAAATTGCTTTCACCTTTCGAGTGCAACTGCTACCAGCTCATGCGTGTACTCGTGATAGAGGTCTCTAAGACTGTGTTACATTCTAGGAGACCTTCGAAATTCTGGACCAAGAATGAAATCGTTTAGATGCGTCATTTTAATAGAATGTAAGTATCGATAGAATCCCGCTTACCAGAGTTCGACAATCGGTCGGTGGATCCTTTTACGCGGCTGCGACACTGCCAGTTATTGCTCTCGCCTTGAGACAGTTGACGCCAGCGCGATCGACCGTAGCTGGAGTTGATAATTCTTGCTCCTGTGACACGTATATTCAGATAATCATTCGGAATCATTCGGAATCAAAGTCTCAAACGCAATTTCATCGGTCTTGATATTCACTTCTATGTCGGTGGGCTCGTCGAAGGATAAATCATCGAGACGCGCGTAGCCCCGTGCCGACCGCTCCAATTCTTATGGATCTTCCAATTTACTCGCAAGCTGATACAGATTACTCCATCCCGATCGGGTACCGAAAGTATCTCCCCGAAAACGGCGCGAGATCAGTCGGAATCACAGGGCAATCGGGTCCGACTAGTCGGTTGGATATTCGAGCTCGTTCGTTCCCGACGCTTCCCCGCCATTTGTCTTCTCCACCCGCGAAAGATTCCAACAGCTTTCCCTTTCCAACTTATTCCCCTCCCGTGGTTCGACGTCTCGTTCGTTCTTTCCAGTAGTTCGCCTCTTCCGGACTGCACACCCGGCACGAACAAAATCATAAAAGTTTTAGCCTACAACTCGGAGACGCGAGACCAAACCTCGCGCGCTCCTTAGAGAGAAGCTTTTCGGTGTTAGTCGTTTCGTAACGCCAGTGGTGCGCAAAGTCCCATCCTTTCAGTTTACTCCACTCCCGAAACAAAGTTAATAATGTAGGAAATGACGAGGTTGAGATAAGTCCAATCAATAGATATTAAAATATTGGCAAATTTCTCACGATTACTTTTTCTCAACTTTTCATGTTCGGAAGTATTACTTTCTCGAACCAGTAAGTAAATAATTTGCGATTTCAGTCACCAACCAATTACGTCTCTTTTGAGCAGGTTCGTGTGCGGACGGCCCAAGGCGACGCATGTTCCAGTTTTGTTTCTCGGCGAAAGAGGTTGCGCGTCTCTGCGTTAACGCTCAGAGACGTTTGCGTTTCCATCTTATTCGCGTCTATAGGTTACCCCCGTGTGCTCCTAACCACCCTCGACGTTCGTATGTGTCTGGCCTCGTATGGCCACGTCCACGTGGTGGCGTGGGTGTGAGTTCGTAAGGAGCAGCCGAGTTTCGGCGGCCATTAGCAGCAGCCGTCGGTCCTGAAAATCAGAAAACTTCCGAAACTGATCCCCGCCTCTTCCGAGCCAATTACTTCCTTCTTGCGGATTTATCGTACGCGGCCGGATATTAATTGTAGACCCGACGTCGCTCCTCCGAAGGAGACACGGATATTTTTCCATCGATCGCCGTCTAACTTGAACGAATACGCAATGTTGAGAAATGTTTCGTTCGAATCGGTGCGAAAACGAAGCGGACGAAGAAAGGATCGAATTGAAGGGACGACGAACCGCGAGAAATATGACGATCGACCCTGTTTTACAGAGCGTTTACAATCTGCTGGGGGAAACTCTGTCGAGGCTGCAACAGTACGCGGAAGCGGAAAGGTGGTTCCAGGCGAGTTTGGCCAGCCAGCCTGACCACGTGCCGGCCCACATCACTTATGGGAAACTTTTGGCCCGAAACGTAAGTAGTTGCCGGCTTTAGATCGGTTCTCTTTCATCAGGGCGAGGATCCAGTTTCCAAGTTTACCGCGACCCGACCGATATCGTTCGACGAAATTTCGTGGCTGCGATACCGCAAGAGGAGGAGCCTAAGGGGGAGGGAAAAATGGAACGCCGCAGGGGAATCTCTCGAGTTCACGTGCCAAAGAACACGGGAACTCGTCCGGAAGAGTGTTTTACGCTATTTCGCGAACCGCCCCATTCCCTCGAATCAACGTTTTATTCCTCTCGTCTTCGAAGAATTCGGAATATCGGGGAACTTCTTCGGTGATCTAACGAGAAATCTTGAACGAAATTTTGCTAGCCAAGAGAGATCGTTTTGTCTCGACGTGTGCGTTCCCTCTTGCAGGAGATATCGCGTCTTTATGAATCGAGAGTAATCGAACGTCCGAGTCTATACGAGACGCGATAACATCGACCGATAACTCGGATTCCGGGCTCTCCGCGAGTCCGGCCACGTACCGACCCACATCACTTAGCAAACCTTCGACTCGGCACGTAAGTAGTTAGTACTATTTCGGCGCGACGCGAATCGAAGTCGATAGGCCGGGAATCGGATGACCTGAATCGCTGCGAGGGAATCGACGCCGACGACGGGAAACAGCGCGGAGTTAAGCTGATTCTGCTCGATCCGCTGACCGTGCCGATGCCGTGTTCCCGACCGGCCAATCGACAACCGGAAACCGGTATTTCTCCCGAAAACATATCTAACGCGACCGACGATTACGCTCACCGAGCCGAGAGTGATTCGGGACGCGCGATGTGTTGCCCCGTACGTGTCCCGTTTCGCCAAACGTGCCGGCGCAGGCGTCCACCTTTACCTTTCGCGAATGCCAATATTTTTCGTCCAATTAGCGCTAGAAATGCGCGACGTTACATTCGAATGATAGACAACGAATAAACCGAATAACACGACGTACAGCGATAAAGTAAATAATAAACGAACGACATATGCGTTTTTACGTTGTTTCAGTTTGTGCTATTTTTTGAAGTCATTAAAATTGCTTTATATGCAAGTTTTATATGTATATATATCATTTTGTAGCTTTTGAAAAGCTCTTTCGTATTTATTTATTAGATACATTAATTGATTGATCGTTTAATTCATTAAAGATACTGAATATAATATTTTCTTTGCTCCTTCAGTATCTTTAAACTCTTGTTTCCAGTAATGACGTAAGAGTACACGAATCTCGAAATTTTCCATGATTTTACTAAAACGAAAATAAATTAAAATCGTACGTTGCAGTCGGCAAAATTCAGCGAAAATGTTCACATAGTACTGTTGCTGCTTTTCAAGTAAGTTGCACAGAATCGGAAATACTACTCTCGCGAAACACCGTTCGAAATATCGCTCTTAATTTGATCGACTATGTTTCGCAAGAGTGGCGCTTTTTACATTGAACAACAGGAAGTCCTTGCGCGCCGGATGAGCGCCTAAATTACGATGCGCATCACGCGCGGGACGAAAGGGTCAATGAAAAGTCAATACCGGTAAACGATGCCCAGCGTAATTGAACGTTTGATCAATAAATGTCATCGGTGTTCCGTCGCAAATGAATTTTCATTCGTTTGTACTTTTAGCGAATGGCGACGAACAGTATTGAAATTTCATTTCAATTTTCATTTTTCGCCTCTGCTCTTTTTTTGCTTCCTTTGATTGGAAAATCGTGGATCGATAAGCAAAGTGCTCGGTGTTATGAAAGCCTAAAAATATTATTTACGCGACAATCGAGTTCTTGTAATTTAGATCGAGAAGTTTATTTTTGGTACGTAAGAGATTTTTATATGAAGAACGTCCATAATTGGTCGCGTTAGCTTATATCGCGTACGGGATTGATTAGTTACAGGAACGGTCCTGCCATAGCACTTGTGAAACCAGAGTCAGCCGACAAACCATTACGGTACCGCATGGTCGGTCGTTGCCAGTAGAGATATCGAGTTCCTCGTGTACCCACGGGTATCAATCGATACGATGTCTAAGCTTCAATTTCGATCTCGCATACAGCTCCAACGCGTTCGACCAAATATATAATTCGCCAAAAAGTCACGATAATATATCGATAGCGAGTAGTCGCGAATAATGATCGACATTTTGACATCTCTCATTTTGTACGAGTGTAAATCTTGAAATCTGTATTCTTAAATTTTACACAAGCAGGCCACAGGGTCTCTTCGATAAATTATTTAGTAATGAAGCGTACCGTTCGAATACATCCTTGAAATCTCCGTCCGCGTTGGATTCGATAATCATCGCGCTACATCTCCAACGATCGAATATCCGATTATTCAAGCCTCGTTTGTGGTTTCTTCCGCAGTCGAGCCGCGTGCTGGAGGCCGAGAGATGGTTCCTGAGAGCCCGCAGGCTGGCGCCGGATGACTCGAGCGTCCACCATCATTACGGTAGGTCTAACCGCCAGCTTCTCTAATTACGAATCCAACCTAGACGCGGCCAACGGGAATCGCGAAGAAAGAATTGTTCGATTCATCGAACGATGAGCATGAAAATCAAATTCAGATAGACGTCCCTTTCTCTCTTTTTCTCTCTCCATTCCCTACCTATAGCTACCCTCGGGACGCCGGGGATGTCTCGTTCATTATTAAAGCAATGAAATACTACCTCTTAAGCGTGCTCCTCGCTGTTGCCGAGCAAATTGGGGTGGCCGCCAAACGATTCATCCTTTGGTCCATTGCAACAGCGGTATAATTGATTCACTGGGAACTTAGTACATCGCGAGGGCATTAGCAATTGCCCCACCGTCGAAACGAGGAACGAAAAGCTTTGCGGAACGAGGGGGATGAAGCGTCGCGGTTCGAGAAACAATAGGGAGGATCGTCGAGATTTTTCGAGAGTCGTATTAATAAGGGAGAGAAGAATACCGTCGATCTAGTCTCGATCTCTGCAAATACACGCGCAATATTTCCATACCGAAAGAAAATGGATTAAAAATCCCTCCACTCTCCGCTTCGCTTTCTTTTCACTCTTTCCTTTCCATACGATCACGGGCCATCCCTTTCGAGCGTTCGTTTTGCTATCGAGTTCCTTTCTCGCTGGTTTTTATCCTCGTTGAAAATCTGTCGAGTCCTTTCAGCAACGTGGCCCGCCAGGATATCGGTCACCCGATTCTTTGTGGCCAGGATTAATCTACTTGTCGGGAAAAAAAAACAGTCACGGTAGAGGAGTAGTTTTCGGAGCGCAAAAAGTGGCGCGGTTTATCTCTCTTAGCGGCACGCGTCATTAGGCAGTGACCCGCGGAAGGTCGCGTAATATATCACGCTGAAATTTATGGCGAACGTCCATATCCGAAATTCGTATCTAGTTAAGAATTTAGTCCGTGTTCGCCACGGACTCGTGGAACCTAAACTCGAGTCGTTCCTGTTTCGCTTTCAGGGCTGTTCCTGACGTCGCAGGGGCGGCTATCGGAGGCTGCGGAGGAGCAGCTCCGAGCTGCCGAACTTTCCAGATCCGATTACGAGCTATCGATGGCGGCAGCGTCGGCGCTGCGTCAGGCGGCCCGTCTCGAAGACGCGGAGGTCTGGTACAGACACGCCGCCAGTCTGAGGCCCCACGAGGCGCGAAGTCACACGAACTTGGGCGCCATTCTTCACCTGAACGGCAAATACAAGCAGGCAGCGGCAGCGTACAGCGAAGCTTTGAGGCTGCAGCCAGGCGACGCCACTACCATCATGAATCTCCACAAATTGGCGGCGATTCTGGCGTGACCTCTCGACACTGGCAACGGTGTCGCCGCGGCCACCACGAGAGACAGCGACCAGAGGAACGAGTGCGTGTATCATACGACCCCAGAAAAGACCCACTATCGACTCGCCGTACTTCCTGACCCCACGTCTCCCCGATCTTCCTCCCGATATTCGTTTATATCCGTCGACCGGCGCAGCAATGTCACGAGGCCGACGTCCTCGGGGACCTTGGCGCGCTGTCGACTCGTATCGCCTGCTATGGTATGTAAAGAATAAAGCTTCCTTTATTTTTCTCTAACGTTCGATGTTATTCTATACCGGTATCCCTTCCCCGGCCACTATCCTGAACAGGAAACGGTGCTTGAAGCTCGCAGAAGACGGGACGCCAGGTAAACCACGCCAGGTAACTTAACCCTCAAACAAGTCTCAAACACGATACCGGACTTTTAAATCGAACCGTACACTTGCCATTGGCTTGTTTTCAATATTTGGCTGTACGTGTATTGTCAAAATTATTCAAGTAACGAATACATTGATATCTGTTTAAATTTAATTTGGAAAATCAGGCTTCTAAGGGGTTAAGAACACATATCGCGTGTAACCCCCCGTGCGTCGCGAGCGCGATCCCCGAAACATTGGAAATTAGCCGAAAGTTGGAACAATCGGTAAGAGTCCTCGGGTTAGGTTTGAGAACCGAATCTCGAACTCACTTCCGAAGTGTAAACCACCCGCGAATAGTTTGCCCACGGCCGATTCCGTTCGAAAGAAAAACTCCAAGGGATCCCGAACGAGTTGACCCTGACTTCCCTGGAAGGGCTGAAGCCGCAAGATTCTCGCCCCCTTCTGGCTACGGGGCGACGCCGACGAAGCTCCATTAATACCGAATCTATTTGCGCAACGGCACCGACTGTAATATTTAAGTTTACACTTTAAATCACACCCCCGAGCGAGTCGCGAGCAGAGTCGGCGAGAGAACGGGCGATGGGGGATGAGGGTGGAAGACAGGAGAAAAAGACGGATGAGGGTAATACCGCGAGAAACGGTGGATACAGTGCCGAAGAGGTGAAGCAAGAGGGAAAAGGGGGAAAGAGGGAAAGGACGGAACGAAGCCACCTGTCGCTCTCGTCTCCCTGGTAGAGACAGTCTCGACAAACACTCGACAGGTGCCGCGCGACGGTTACCTACCTTTATTCCGCGAAGAACTCGCTTCGTTATCTTTAAAGCGGAACTCGTCGAGACGCCGAGGCCGAACGAGAGCTCGTTCAGTCGGTACAGGTCCGAGCTACGTCGCGTGCCATTCCGTTTCGACCGTCGTCGACTCCTTTTTGTCCTCGCAACTTCTTCCTCCGTCTTCCCAAACGTCGACTTTTATCTTTTTTCTACTTCGTTGCCGTTAATATTTCACGCGAACTCGCGGCTAACCCTAACCTAGGTTCCCTTTTCGCTCCAGCCGTAGTTTCTTTCGTCTTCGATTTCTCTAACAAGGAAAGCTTTTTAGGTGTCCGCCTCCGATTGCTTTGATTTTTGGATATGTTTTAAAGGGCCGAAAAATAAGGTATACGTATTTCATAGTTAGGGGATGAAACGACTCCTTAAAGTTTCAGTTGTAATAGGCTATATCCGAAACTATCATATGTAGAAGAAAACTTTTTTAAAACATGTTTCGTGGTTTTCTATCTGCATATAAAATCTGGCCCTACATTTTGTAAAAAATAATTTGTTTGTAATAATAGTCTATTACTGCTGAAACTTTGGAGGGTCGTTTCGCTCCATAAATATGAAAACGGGCCGATATAAAAAAAAATACGTATATATTATTTTTCGGTCCTTTAAAACATATCCAAAAATCAAAACAATTGGACATCTAAAAAGCTTTCCTTGTAAGTAGCCTCGAAACTCGCAAGAAACGACATCGGGGTTACTTTCCACCCGAAATAAAAGACTACCTTGGTTCCCAGAAATTTCTTTTTTTCTCATCGCTGGATGATTACCTCTTCGTTTCTTATCTCTCTTAACGCATTTGCCGCGAACACCGCAATTATTTTATTTCTCCAAGGCGTAAATCCTTGAATGTCATCGATTTTCCGGCCGTCGCCGAAACGATAGGTGGAACCTTTTATTTTTCCAACCCCTCGGTTCTCCATCTCTTTCCCGTAATCTTGTCTTCTCCGCTGAACTCAACTTACCCCCTTTGCTAACAGATTAAACGTATCATCGTTTCCTTTCCTTTACTTTCCTACGGTTTTCGTTCTCCTAGACTTTCGCTGAGCGACGTTAATTCTTGTAATTAGTCACAGTCGAGAAGGTTTCAGGTTGAATGCTCTCTCTCTCTCTCTATTCATTCGTAAAACTCGATAACCGGGGAAATTACCCTCGTTTGGTATGCTATCGTCACTTTCCACACGTCTACTATAAGAAACGAAAAACTTGCTTTGGTTTACGCGTAGGAAATTTGTTTATATGGACACGGATATTTACTACACGGATTTCTACGCGACTTTACGTGTTATACGTGAAACCGGTGTACACGCATAAATGGGGGCTCTAATTTCGATACTCGTATGCCTTTAGCGGATATAAGCCAGAAACTGTGGCGAGACTAGATCTCCTTCGATCGCTCGGTCCGCTTCCGTGGATTTACTCGTAATAATCCCGCTAATAATCCCTATCTCGCGAAGACGTCAACTTCATTGTTCGGAAAACGACGCATACCTCCCCTTCGCGTGCTAAACTCCGAGACTGTATCGCCACCGGGACACGGCTGTATCTACGGGGCAGTCCTCGAGTTCCGTTCCGCGACGAACAGAGCGGAAAACGACGCCATTAACCGCGCCACGTCGTCTCGAAGCCTTTCACCCGGTTTCTTCGAGCACGGACCTTCTGTTTCGCGAGGCGCCTTTGTATCGAGAGGTCGACCGGCTCCCGGGAGACTCCTCCGGCATAATAAATGTCCGCCTATCCCGCTGGCCCATCTCTTATTGCGCCGCACGAAGGAGCGCGCCCCGGCGAACGGGGAGAAAAAGCGTACAGAAAGGAATGTCAATAAGGGAACTGGGAAGTAGACAAACGGGAACGTCCAAGTTCCCGTGAAAAATAGAGATGGGAAGCTCGACGGCGGAGTAATCGGGAACGAGGCGTCGGCGTCGCTTCGAGGCGAAGATTCCGAAAGAACCGACCGCTCCGAAGACCACGTGTTTCGAAAATTATGTCGATCATTTACCAAACGTTAGGGAAAAATGTTTAGTCCTCGGAGTTTTTTGAAAATGTGGGGAGGAGTGTTTAACTTATTTGCATCACATGGAACAGTGGAAAATTCGTTCTTATCGTGAATATTTTATTTGAATTCAATTTCCAAATAAATGGCGCGTATGTATCCGCTAACGATGCAAATGGGTTAAATGTTGAATCTTCCAACGAGGAATCTTTACGCGAGGTAAACGGTTCGAGAGACGTAGTTGTCGAGTTTTTAGAAAAAGCGAGTGCTCGCGTTTCTTAGCGCTGGCTGAAAAATCTTCCTTAATTATCCGAAGCCGTACCAGGATTAAAGCGCGGGGTATGGCGAACGGCTCGATAAAGCGTAACACGAATAAGGAAGTCGCTGTCGGCTTGATCCTAAAGGACGGGTCGGCTAAAACGTAATCGACGTGACTGATCCTGTTGCGCGACCGGTAAGTAATTAAGAGAGGTCGTTTAGAGCTTAACGAAATAGAGCGACTACGAAAAGACCGAGGCAAATCCGTCGAACGCCCAACGAATAAACTTGATTGCTTTCTTCTCGCGATTCACCCTTCCGTCGTTTATAAAATTCATAGTAAAGAAAAGAAACATAAAAGGAACGGTAAGCTTGTCTTTCGAGCATTCGCGCCCCTCTACCCCGTTATCCTACGGTATTAAACTTATTTCTCTGGGAACACGATTCACGATAACGTGTCGGTTCCCGAACGCTCTCGCCCGTGACGCTCCGAACGGAAAATCAGAAAGAACGAGGCAGAACGAGTGTAAACTTTCCGATTCTTTCCGGAACGATGCGCCTCGTCACGGCGCGTTGATCGGGGGGTCGAAATGAATCGGTCCATTAAGCGTCATCCGTCAAGCAGAAGAGAACGAGCGTCCTCGAGCGGAAGAAAAACCCCGATGGAAAAAGTTTCCAGTTCCGAGACCAGGTACGTAAAGATTTCATTTCCAGCTGGGGACAAAAGGGAAGGCAGCAGGTGCTGTCGCGATGAAATATTCCGTAGGTCGCATCATTCGAGACGGCAAGGTCGCGCTACGCGAAACGACGGAAGGTCAAGCGACGCTACCCCTTTGACCTCTCCTGATTTATTTCCCGCGTCGGCGTCGCGGTGAGACGTTGAAAAACGGCCGTTGCAAAATTCAGGATCCAGATTCTCGCGACCCGCGAATCGAACTAGCTGGAAACTAACGGCGTACTGTAAACGCATCGAAGCGTTTATACGAGTGTCTGTATTTAATCGATATTAGGTCTCGGTAACAGCGTTTCGCCACGGACGATTACTCCTCGAAAGAAGACTCTCACCCCCGACCGCGAAATTCCTCGCGACGTATAACGCTCTAAGCGTTCCGTTCGCGGATTTTACGCGCGCGAGGGTCGTGCCTTGGAATAGAATTTCCGTTTTATTCGGCCGTAATCTCGGGACGAAAATTCCGCGGAACGATCACGGGGCCCGCATGATACGCGGCTTATCGACGGTCGCGCTCGAATCGATCTTCGCTCCGCGCGGAGAAGCGATGGCTACGCGTTTTATTGCGCGTGACACGTCCACCGAGAACTGCGTGTCATAAAAGTGTAACAGGCGAATAAAAACCGAGTGCGAAAAATCGTTGTTCTTTCGTGCGTCGATCCAAACCGTTGCTTTTTCGTTCCCTTTTGTTTTCGACGTGCCTGCCAGCCAATTGAGCCCGGTTCTTCCAGTTCGTGGAACGCGAACGTCGACTAACCTGCGTCCAAGCGTACGTAACCGCTGACTGCGTTGCCGTTGTTGCGCAACGAATCACCTGGCCGGCCCTGTCGCGGTAATCGCCTAGTCTAACGTTGCGATCTTGCTCGTTAACCGTTCGCGCCCCATGAAGTTCGCGCGCATTTCGTTTCGGTGGATCCAAGCCGTGCGCTCGTATTTCACCGATGAGTGTTTCGCTATTTCGTTGAATTGTATATTCCAAATGTGACTCCGAAGCAAAGAGTCGAAAGGTGAACGACTAATAGCTTGTTCGAGACTACGAAATCGTTATGCTTCAAGGCGGTTTCCTATGCACGTGATAGCCGTGAAACTTTACGGC